TTCTTGTGGGTGCTGTGGGACACCTGCTTCACCAGCTCCAGCCGCTTCTCCACCTGCCGAGGCCGGGGTGCCCGTCACCGGGGTGTCCTGCCGGGGCCGGCACCCCCCACGCAGCAACAGGGGGGACCCCTCGCTTGGCCATCCCAGCCCTTTTAGCTGCTGCTGCCTTGGGTGCCCAACCCCTTCTCGGGGGGCTGGAGGCAGGAGAAGGCTTCACCCAGCTGATGCTGCCCCATCTCGAGCTCCTGAGTGAGGCTGGGGCTGGACCAGCCCCCGCAGCCCTGGTGTCCCCAGGTGAGGGCACAGGTGCCTTGTCCCCAGCTGAGCCCACCGGGAACCAAAGTGGCCGCAGCCAAACCCAGGGCTGCAAAACTGCCTTGTGTCTGCATTGATCCCATTAAGGATTTAATCCCAAAACTCAGTGAGATGACTTGTTAACTGCAGGCAACCAAGGCCTGCTGAAAGCCAGGGCTAGCAGAGTGGGGGGAAACATGGAAATCCTAAAACCTTGGGAAATCATCTGGAAAAAGAGAAATATTCCCAAAAATTAAAATCTTGGAAAATAATCTAGGAAAAAAAAATATCTGGGAAAAAAATAATTACTATCTGCCCTGGGGAAGGGTTGAAAGCTGAGCTTCTCCAGCGTGCCAGGCATCGAGGCAGGAGGCATCTCATGGGAGCCAGTGCAGGGGGGGCCGAGGAGCTCCCCTGCTGTCACACCTCCTGTCCCCAGGGACAGGTTTGCAGCAGAGGGGAGATGTTGCTGCCTACAATCCAGCTGGATCAAGTTGCCATCCCAGCAGAGACAAGGCTGGATCTGATTCCAACTGCTCTGCCACATCCAGCACGCATGGGCAGGTGCCTGGGGACCCCTGGGCACTGTGGGCACAGGTCAGAGCAGCCGCAGAGGATCTCACCTGCAGGAGATCTTCGCTCAAAACCTCCGTCTTCTCAGCCCTGCAGGACAAGAAAGGACATCAAGCCGTGGAGAAGGGTCCAGCACACAGGGCAGTGCTGGGCTGCATGCTGTGGTACCATACAAACACAGAACCATCAAGGTTGGAAAAGACCTTCAAGATCATAAAGTCCAACCATCCACCTTACAACCCCTAGCCACTAAACCACCTTATGAAACACTGTGTCTACCCCTTTTTTAAACATTCTCAGAGATGTTCTCCCTGGGCAGCCTGTTCCAAGGCCTCTCCACTCTTTGTATGAAGAATTTTTTCCTAATATCCAGCCTGAACCTCCCCTGGTGGAACTTGACCCCATTTCCTCTTGACCTGTCACTGGTGACCAGGGAGAAGAGCCCAACACCCACCTCACCACAACCTCCTCTCATGTAGTTAGTTGTAGGGAGCACTGAGGTCTCCCCTCAGCCTCCTCTGCTCCAGGCTGAACAGCCCCAGCTCCCTCAGCCTCTCCTCATCAGACCTGTTCTCCAGACCCCTCATCAGTCTCGTTGCCCTTCTCTGCCCCCTCTCCAGCACCTCCATGTCCTTCCTATCCTGTGGTGCCCAAACCTGCCCCCAGTGCTTGACGTGTAGCCTCACCAAGGCTGAGAGAGGGGCAGGATCACCTCCCTGGTGTTGCTGGTCACACTATTTCTGATGCAGGCCAGGATGCTGGTGGCCTTCTTGGCCACCTGGGCACACACTGGCTCATGTTCAGACAGCTGCACAGCCTTGTCCATTGGGATGCAACCGGTGATTTAAGGCTGTCTGGTCCCACCAGCCATCACCTCATCTCCCAAAAAAACAAAGGATGGAGCACCTTCCTGGCTCACTGCAAGTGTCCCACGTCCAACACCAATTTAGGATCCTCTCCTGATCTCCCCCTTATTTTTCCACTATCCCCAGCAAAACAGGGATGCTGCATTCCTAGAACATCAGTGCTGCAGTGGGAAGCTGGGGTGTCTATGCATGAACACAGCTCCCCAGGCTGGGCTCTGGCACACCACTCCAGAACTTGTCCATCCACTGTCTGTGCCATGAGGAGCACTGGGGATGTGGGAGAAAACACCCCCGATGCAGCACCTCTGGGCCACACAGGAACCCACAGTGTCCCTGTCCCCAAGCTCCTGCTCCTCACCAGGTCTGCTGAGGCTTCTTGAAACCATCACACTCTGGGGAATCTTTTAATTTTCTCAGAGTTTTTTACAACTTTACTGCATCATCTCCCTTTGAAAAACTGCCCCTGTTGAGATGCGCTTGGGCAGGGCAGTGATTTAGCCAATTAGGCCCTAAAGATCTGTTAACAAACAACAATCATGTTGCTCTCATTCTTCTTGAAAAAATAAATACACATATACCTAAGCCCTGGTTGCTTTTTGCTACCCAAGCTGGTATCTCAGCTTTGAGAGACTGAGCAAAGTACTGAAAAAGTGGAAGCAGGGACTGAGCAGCAGCAGAGTGAGGCCAGGAGCAACGTGCTGGCCAGGGCAGGGCTGTGGCTCACCCACAAACACCACATCCAAAAGCTTTTATAAAGTGTGAATTAACTGCATTCAATCTGGTTTGTCTAGGAAAGTTATCCCAGTGTCTGACTGAAGTTGGCTTCAACAATTAAAAAAGTCCGCCCTGAATTATTTGAACTTTTTAGAAAAAGGGATTTAAATGAGCACTTTATATCATGTTCTGTGTGAATCACAAGTGATGCTCTGACTGCCTGGGAGCAAGGTTCTCCTCCTCTTCTGCAAATCACCTTCATTATCATTGATGGACAGGGGTGGAAATGCCACAGAGCCATCATGAATCAGGAAAAACCAGCAACTGTCCCCCTGCACCAACCCCATGGCCATCCCTGCTCCCTGGCTCAGGATTCACTCAGCATCCTGAAGGAGAAGGAGGAGGCAGAGACACAGTGAGCATCAGGCACTGCTGGTGCAGGGCCCTGCTGCTTGCTCTGCTCTCCAGACACTTTAAAAGGGCCAATGAAGAAAGAAGCAGCTCACAGCCTTGAACCATTAGGAAAATGCTCCCAAAGAAGGGATGGGTTTAGTGCATTTTCTCTTCTACCAGCCAGGCTGATCATAGTCATAGAGTCATAGAATGCTTTGGGTTGGAAGGGACCTTTCAAAGTCCTCTAGTCCAGGCCCCCCTGCAGTGCAGAGGGACCTCTTTAACTGGATTAGATTGCTCAGAGCCTCATCAAGCCTGACCTTGAATGTCTCCAAGGATGGGGCCCCCACCACCTTTCTGGGCAACATCTTCCAGTGCTTCACCACCCTCATTGTAAAAAACTTCTATGAAATGTCTACTCTAAATCTACCCTGCTCTAGTTCAAGGCCATTGCCCCCCATCCTGTCACTACAAGCCTTTGTAAACAGTCCCTTCCCAGCTTTCTTGTAGGCCCCAGGATGGACAGGTTCTGCACAACCCATAGCCCGTGCAGGTCTCTCTCCCAGCAGCCAGAAAACAACATGTGTGTTTTGGAAGCAGAAAACAACATTTCAAATGGGACAACAAAAATCTGGCTTCATTCTGCTTTTAGGCACAGCCTCAGCACAAGAAACCTCAGTGGCCTTAACCGTGAACATAGTCCAGCCACAGCCCTGGCACATCCTGGGATGCTTGAGCAGGCTGGGGAGACTGCCAGCAATTAATTGGGCTTTTAAAAGGGGGGAAAGGGGAACAAGCTGCAGCAAAAGAGGCTGTTGGAATCACGCAGCAGAGTGATGGGCACACACTCCAGAACTTGCAAATTGTATCCAAGGGGTGTGAGAACCCAGTGGTACCTCCAAACGCCCAGAGAGCCCAGCCCAAGATGCTCTGCAAGGCCCTGGTAGGTGTAAAGACAAAAATGACATCATCCTTCTCCACTGACATCACCCTGCATCACAGCTCAGTGCTGCTAATGCCACTGGGAAAAATCCCATGATATCTGTTGTTTCTAAAGTCTCAGTTTAAAGTTAATATAATTTTGCAGGAGCTGATGTGGTTTTATGAGCCATCCTGCCAGCCTGCAGCAAGTGGTGCAAGTGGCCAAACACACACTCTGCCCCAGAGCAGCTGGAAGATGGAGACTCTCCTACAGGCCCTAGGAGCTTCTGCAAAAACTAATTGCTGCCCGTAGAAATCAACACCAAGCAAAGCTGGTTTCCAAAGAAATTGTGAGCTTCCTGGAGAGCCACAGCAAAGCTGGTATTTCCCTGGAGCATCTAGCTGGACCATCCATCACCAGTGGGAGAGACTTTTTACAGGGACATGTAACAACAGGACAAGGGGGACTGGCTTTAAACTGAAAGGTTAAACGTTAGGAGGAAATTCTTCACTGTGAGAGTGGTGAGAGCCTGGCCTAGGCTGCCCAGGGAAGCTGTGGCTGCCCCATCCCTGGCAGTGTTGAAGGGCAGGTTGGATGGGGCTTGGAGCAACCTGAGCTGGTGGGAGGTGTCCCTGCCCATGCAGGGGGTTGGAACTGGGTGATCTTTAAAGTCCTTGCCAATTCAAACCACTCTATTATTCTTACATTTTGCAGCAGCAAAACCACCCCAGCAGGCTGGTGGGCAGTGCTGCAGCCAGCACAGGGTGACAACAGCCAGGATGTATGTTTACAAATATGTAAGGGGTGAGTGTCAGGGAGCTGGAGTTAGGCTTTTCTCAGTGGTGACCAGTGATAGGACAAGGGGTAATGGGTGTAAATTGGAGCATAGGAGGTTCAAGGTGAATATCCGAAATTTTTTTTTTACTGTAAGAGTGACAGAGCCCTGGGACAGGCTGCCCAGGGAGGTTGTGGAGTCTCCTTTGCTGGAGACATTCAAAACCCACCTGGATGAGTTCCTGTGTGATGTACTCTAGGTGACCCTGCTCTGGCAGGAGGGGTGGACTAGATGATCTTTCGAGGTCCCTTCCAACCCCTAAGATTCTATGATTCTGATTCTATGATGTGGCCTCTGAGGCAGAGTCCCAAGGAACTCCTGCCCTTTAACTCCCACCTGTGGCCCCCTCCTGGCTGCAGGGTGCTTGTAAATATTCATCACTATTTAACCCCTGCCACTAGCTGCTTCCCCTGATGTCTTTTTGCTCCAGCCTAAAAATAGCCTCAAGGCTGAGCACAGAAACCCGGCCAAGGCCACCCTGAGCTCGCAGTGTTCACTCCCACCAGGGAGCTCAGGGATGGTGCCCAGCTCCATGCCAGTCCTGCCAACATCTCCCCCTGGTGCTCCCACATGTGTGGGGCCACTGCTAACTGTGGAAAATTCCGGTTCCTCAAGACCCCAGAGCTCAGAGGTGAGGTTGCTAATGTGAGGTTCAACCATGCAACTTGGACAAGGTGCTGAGCATCCATTGTGTGTGCTGGAGGGAGAAGAAAGTCCCTCAGGTCTCATCAGGCAACCCCTGGAAGTGCTGGGCATCATGGGCCAGGCTGGATGTTGGTCCAAGGACTGTGTGTCCCCAGCTTCTGCTGCTGTCTGAGCTCTCCTTGCCACCACATTCCCAGGGACCTGCATCCAGCAGCTTGTAACCAGGATCCAGCAGAGGCCAAACACAGCTGTGGATTTTTCCCGGTGCCTTTTTCCAGGCAAGAAGCAAAATATCAAACATTCACATCCTCAAATCGCTGCTCAAATCCCCCAGGGAGACAAATCTGAACGGCAACATCCAGCAAGAGGTGCTGAGATGGCCCCGTCGGCACCTCCTTCCGTGATCCCGGGCTGGTCCTGCCCTGGTGGGTGTCCCAGAGGGACCATCCCCGTGTCCCAGACCTGTGGCCAAAGGCAGCGGTGCCACCTGGCGGGCACGGTGCCAGGGCTCGGCCCCAGCACCTCACCCACCTTTGGCTGAGCCAGGCTGGGAAAGCGGGATGAGACGAGTGGGGAAGGCTGCTCCAGCTTTCCTGTCCTTCTACCCACCACCGGGAAAGCCAAAGGAATCAAAGCAAAACGGGGGACAGATTTGAAAAGCAGAAAAGCCTCGTTTCCTCATCTCCTGCCCCTTCCCTGGCTGTGAGCTCTGCAG